TTAGTTTAAAGTATAATACGTACTCGTAATATTTTGATCAGTGGCTGGTATAACATATTAATGATGAATGGCATTTATTATCACGTTGGCTGCATAGCTAAGAGGGAACCTGAAGAATTTAAATTGGCAATTGGCAACGTACTAATTAAATGCTAAACCATTTGTATTTTTCATTAATTAACACGTCCATTTAATTTAACTCATAGTGTATAAGAAAAAAAAGGTTGAGCCTCATCTCCGAGAAGACACTTTGATCCAACCGAACTCATAGAATATAAAGTGACACGGTGTGGGGTGAGGAGGGTGATGAATAGAAATTGTACGTAGGGTATTATATTCATTACTAATACCCTACGTTGAATATAAAATACACTTTGAGAAAATATTACAAGTGCAAAGGCCCAAAAGGTCCAAAATATTCAATTCAGGAGACCATAGCCATGGGCCATCGGATGCACGTTACCCATTTACCGACTGATGACGGTTTCGGACGATGAAAACTCAATTACATTGCATAGGGCGTGGGGGGAGATCAATAGAAGAATGATGAGTCATCATATTTCGGCACCGAGGGCCCAACGAGATTTGGTGAGCTTCTAAAGCGCGTTAACTCATTCAATGAATTTCCAACAGAGAAACTCCGACTTAAGCAATATGTCGTATCGAAGTAATAGAATTTAGGATGAGGTAATAACAACTAGATTGGGTAATAAAACACTTGGGTTGAACCACATTAAAAAATTGAATTCAATCGATTAATTAGTTCAACTCAAAAGCTTATATATCGATTATTTTTTCTTAAACTTCCGATGTGGGATGACACTTAGATGAAGGAATTTATTAGAGTGACGATCGAGTGCGGATATGGGGAGCCTTCCACCAATATTAGAAGTAAGGAAGGATAATAGAGATGTGGGCATCCATACATACCGTGGGGCCTAATGAAGTAACCTAATTAACAAGGTACTCCGTTACAAGATAGGGAGGCCCATACACGAGTAACACGACTGTCTCTCCATGACTCCATGAGCAAATTGTTAAATCCTCCATGCTCCCACCACCAATAATATTTGTGATTTTAAAAAACTAGATTGGGAAGTCTAATTTTAATGAAAACAATAAAATAATTAAAGTTATACTTCCTCCAACATTTGTCACTACCCACTATAAAATGAGGCAGTTCTCATGACATTGATAGTCAATGTCATGAGCTGATCTAGAATCCTTTGGTACGGTGCTTCACTCGTAGAGTTGACGATTTCTACCCTCTTTAATTCTTCCAGCAAATCCCTCCATCCCGTCCCAACATGAACCCACCCCCACCCCCTTCAAGTTTATTTTGACATTGAAGTCGAAATTTGGAGGGTGCAATTGAAGAGAGAGGGGGGGGAGGTTGGTTCGAGTCATGGCAGGGGTTTGTCAGGGGTGGTTAAGAGAGGTATAAACTATCAATTTTTCGAACGGAACATCGTAAATGTCTCGAGTCATGCTATGATATTGTCGGACAATATCAGATAAATAGGGGTGTTAAACAATAAATCAAGCTAAGATACCATTGATATTGTTTTACCGAATGATTATGTACCCTCTATAGAAAGTTTAACATGCTTTTTTTTAATAAAAACTTAAAGTAAGGACATTAATAAATTATACTTTGTACGTAGTAGTATGTTGAAAAACTTTACCGGAGTAGACAATAAAACTTGCCAAAATGTACAAAATTTGAAATAAATAATGTAGTTCAAATGAAGATACACATGTACTAAGATTTATATACTCGTAAATGTTTTTTAAAGTAATAAAATGAAAGTAGTGAAGAATTTACAAAGTTTAATTAACAAAACCTTGTTTATTAAAAATAGTACGGAGTAAAGTTTATATAACTCCTTTTTAAATGGAGCTAGTAGAATAACTATGAATATTAAAAAAAATACTCCATTATTTTAAAATGGTGAAATAATAAAAATTAGTAGACTAATTAAAAAGTGTAAGAGTTTATGCCTATATACTCCGTATAAAATATTACTCATAAAAATAATGATTATTCAATGTAAAAATCAGTGTGACACATTGTGTGCCTTTAATTCAAAGTTTCCATTATCAATTTTTTAAATGATGCAAACATGCATCATTTAAAAAAATTAGCTTAAAATATTTTTGGTCAGCTGCAGCCCAAGATCATAATTATTAATGTCAATTTTCAATTTACACACTTTTGGGATTACAATTTTAAGAAAATTAACAAAACGTTACTAAAATTAAAATGTGAATCGTTATTGTTGTGAGATGGATGTAACGTTCGTACTTGGAATATTATTCTTAGCTCATGTTCTTTTGGGTTAGAAAAATTCACTTTTAGCTCCTTATTTCCTCTTATTTCTTCTAACTCCTTCCAATTTAATTTCTTTCAACAACATGTATATTTATATATGATGAATATACAATAACATTATGCATCCAAATTTATAACATATCACATCAAACACGCACAAGGATGAATTCTTTTTTATCGAAGATTAGAGTTTTGTTACATTTTTAGTTGGGTGATCATTTAATTGAGTAACTTTTTAACACTTTAGTTCTTCCAACATTTTCCAACTCCTTCCAATTTTTTCTAACTCCTTCCAATTTTTTGAAAATCTATCTAATTCTGGAATTCTAACCCAAAAGAACATGGCCTTAACATACAAAGTATAAAAAGAAAACTCTCTACATAGGAGTAAATTAAAAAAAAGTATGAAATTACTAAAATATGAGTCCTACGTCTTTAAAGACCAAAATAGGAGTGTAATGGCAGTGTGATATAAGAGTCCGTGTTAGCAGTGTGATGAAAAATGATGATAGTGTAATATATCAATGTGATCAATCAATCATCAGCGATCCGCGGTTACACTCTAGTGTGTGGCGGCAACGGATGGCAACATGGCGGTGATAATGTGACAGTTACAATGTAGTAGTGTAATAATGATAGTTTGAACTCCAATTTTAGTTTTAAAAAACTTATGAATCTATTTTGTTATTTTTATAATTTTTTACTCGTAGCAAGGGAGTTCTCCATAATACGGAGTATAAAATTTGAATTATTCATTAAAATCTCCAAACTTGGGATCATTGACGTAAAATTTTCCTAAAAGTAATACTCCGTAATTACCAAAATACTAGTTTACATAATTAAAGACGCACTCTTTAAGATACTTTTATCTAAAAGCAATTATTTTCAAACTTGTAATTGGCAAAATTGATCTTTAGATCAATCATCCTTTCAAAATAACTAGCACTAAAACATACTAATAGCTTTTCCTAAATAGCATCACATGTATTTTTTTCCCCAATGTAGCACTTTTAGTCATTATCCATTAGTCATTATTCAAGTAAATATTCGTCATCACTGGACATTATGGACATTATGAAGTGATATTTATGAAATAAAAAAATATAAGTGTTATTTAGAAGAATGACTTAAGTTTCAGTGCTATTTAGTGTAAATGTTTCTTAAACAAGTACATAGTATTATCCAATGACTTAGGTAATGTTTTCTTCAACGTATTCTTATTATTTATTACTTTTTTATTCGAATCAGAATCAGATAAGATCAAATAAGATCAGAAGCAGATTTAAATATAATTACATTCATATCAGATCAAAACTTATTTCAATTAAAATAAAATTATTTAAATCAGGCCGGTGAAGAGAACATGGCCTTAGATTGCCAAACAAAGTTATAGACAAAATGAAAAGTGAGATTATATGTGTGTGTTTGTGTAGTATTTTCTAATGTAAATTAAATATTTGAAATACTTGTGTTGCTTGGTTAGCAACTTTAGCAAAAAAAAAAACCAAAAAGTGTCTTGCTTATGTTGGTCTCAAAAGAGCTCCTAGACACGGAGCAAAGATGCTGAAAAATAATACAAAGCATGTTCTTTTGACTATATGACATATTGACAAATCATAATGAAAATTTTGGAATCGTTGACAATTGGGTTTTAAAAACATTGTTGTCGACAATTTAAAAAAAATGAAAATAATCTTATGGTTTCTGAGTCATGCATTAGGGAAACACAATTGTGTTGAATGAAGATTAAATGTTTCAACATATATACTATTGGTTCTCTTATGTAGGGAAAGATTTAGTGATAGGGAAGCGCAAAGACGATTGTAGTAAAAGAGACTAACTTAGGTGAAGTATACAAGTTAATTTACTGTAGACCATTGTGGATATTGATTGCAAAAAAAATGGTTGATTCTTTTTTTATTTTTCGATAGAAGTTGGTTTAACTTTAATTTTATAATTCACGACTTAAGCGTTTTCAATCATTTTGCGGCAAAGATTTTAGTTTTAAATTTATTTATCACTCGCTAATAATGAGTTGGCACACCTGTAGCATGTGTTAGGAAGCAAGTTGGTTCTTCCGAGACTTTATTAATTACCATGCCTCTTTAATACTCCCTCCGTCCCGCTATATTCGTCCACTTTTGACTTTTGGAACTGTTCATTTAAGCACTTTGACTCATCAAATTCTCTCAATGTGTAAGCCTAAATATAGTCATGTGTGATCTTGTTTGATTTGTCTTAACATATAGATTATTAATATATAATTTTTATAATTTTTTAATATACAAATTACAAGATAAAATGGATTAAAGAAGTGTATTGGATGGTGTGCAAAAATGAAAGTAGACAAATATAGTGGGACGGAGGAAGTACAACTTTACAAGAACGTGGAGAATATCATATCTTTAAAAATTATTTTATTTACAAATTGATAAAAGAATAAAAAGTAAAATTTACATCGTTCAAAAGTACATCAAAAATTCTACAAAATAAGATGGCACAAGAATATTTTATTCTATCAAATGGTTAACCAAAATGAGCAAACAAACAAGAGTTGTCGAGAGACCGAAATAGTAACTGTGACATTTTTTTTGGAACGGACGGAATACATTTGTATGTTTGATTTTTATTCTATATGTGAGACATACTCATTTATAAATTAAAGAATACCCATTTCACATATTTATTTCATTGCATATATGTTTGGGGTATATACATGCTCTAAAATCAAACCGTGTGAGCTAGGAACCATAGTGAGCCATTCTGGTGAAGAAGGTCCACCATCAATCGTGACCCGAGTTACGATTAACGAAATCTGAGAATGGGCTGCCAAACTTGTAGGGCCCAATATTGTCAATGTTTATTACAAAACAACAACAAACCAGTTGAATCCCACTACAGTAGGGTCTGGAGAGGGTGTGTGTACACAGACCTTGCCCCTACTCGGAAGTAGGGAGGCTGTTTCCAAGAGACCCCCGGCTCAACCTGCACAAAAAATATGGTAGGGAACACAATATAACAGGGCAACAAGATATAACAGGATATAACAGGATAAAGCACCAAGTACAATGAAATGAAAGTCCAGCAAGCAAAAGTAGAAGATTCCAATCAAACACAACACACTACAAAAAACATCTGCAGCACCGAGCTCCTAACCAGCTACTTTAATCCTAGTCCACCAAAGGTTCCTATCTAAAGCCATATCCTCAGTCAGGGTGAGAAGTCCTAAATCCTACCTAATCACCTCCTTCCAATTTTTCCTAGGTCTACCCCTTCCCCTACTTCCCCCGATAACCGTGATCCTCTCGCACCTCCGTACAGGGGCATCAGCATCCCGTCGTCTCACATGCCCAACCCATCTCAACCTCGCTTCCCGCAACTTATTTTCCACCGGCGCCATGCCTACCTGACGTCGAATAACTTTGTTCGAAATCCTATCCAACCTTGTCTTCCCACACATCCATCGTAACATCCGCATCTCCGCCGCATGCAGACGACGCACATGAGTCTTCTTAACCGCCCAACACTCTGCCCCGTATAACATAGCAGGTCTGACTACAGATCGGTAGAACTTACCTTTCATCATGGGTAAAATCTTCGGGTCACACAACACCCCTGAGGCCAACCGCCATTTGGCCCAAGCCACTCCAACACGATGTCCAACATCCCCGTCTAACTCCCCATCCGCCTGGATTACAGAGCCAAGATAACGGAACCTGTCTACCTTAGGTACTACGTGAGAGTCAATCCTAACTTCCACTTCTGATTCTGTTTCCCGGCCGCTGAAACGACATTCCATGTATTTAGTCTTGTTCCTACTTATTCTGAATCCTTTAGTCTCAAGGGCAAGGCGCCATCGTTCCAACTTATCGCTTAGTCCCTCACGTGTGTCGTCGATAAGCACGATATCATCCGCGAAAAGCATGCACCATGGGACCCCTTCTTGAACACCTTGAGTTAGGACGTCCATCACCAAGGCGAACAAAAAAGGGCTAAGGGCAGACCCCTAGTGCAACCCCATCCCTACTGAGAATGACTCAGAGTCGCCCCCGGAGGTCCTTACCCTAGTCATAGCCCCATCATACATATCCTTGATCGCGCGAGTGTACGCGATGGGAACTCTTCTCGTCTCTAGGCACCTCCATACGACCTCCCTTGGCACCCTATCGTACGCCTTCTCAAGATCAATAAACACCATATGAAGGTCCTTCTTCCTAGCCCTATACTCTTCCATTAACCTCCTCACGAGGTGAATGGCCTCTGTAGTCGATCTGCCAGGCATGAAACCAAACTGGTTCTCAGAGATGCATACCCCTTTCCGCACCCTATACTCAATGACTCGCTCCCAAACCTTCATGGTGTGGCTAAGGAGTTTGATGCCTCTGTAATTCTCGCAGCTCTGAATGTCACCTTTACCTTTAAACAAGGGGACCAAGAGACTCTCCCTCCACTCATCAGGCATCCTTGTTGTGCGAAAGATAACATTGAAGAGTTTGGTTAACCAAACCCACGCACCACGGCCCGCATGCTTCCAAAACTCCACCGGAATCTCATCTGGCCCCAAAGCTCTCCCACTACGCATCCCTCGGAGAGCCCGAGCCACCTCTCTCAGGCAAATGCGTCGACAATACACCCGAGACGCCCCGGACTGCCCCAGCTCATCAAGAACTAGCATATGGTCTCCTCCCGCATTTAAGAGTTCACAAAAGTACTCCCCCCAGCGCTTAGCCACTTTGGCAGTCTCAACTAACACTCTACCATCGCTCCCCTTCACACATCTTACGTGGTCCAGATCTCGGGCCTTCCTCTCACGCACCTTAGCAAGCCGGAACAGTGTATTAACACCACCTTTCTCCTCAATATCCTTGTAGAGGCGTTCAAAAGTGGCATTCTTTGCCCTCGTAACCTCTAACTTGGCTTCTTTACGTGCCTTCTTGTACTCCACTCGTAACGCCGTTCTTTCCTCCTCAACATTGCAGCCCATGTACCTCAAATATGCCACCTTCTTAGCTTCCACCTTACTTCGGACTGAATCGCTCCACCACCAATCACCCTGACGCCTACTCCCAGAGCCAGAGCTCACACCTAACACTTCCCTGGCTGTTTCCCTGATGCAGTTAGCAGTCCGCGTCCACATATCTGTAGCCTCTCCGTCCGATTCCCACGCACCTTTCTCCTGCACTCGC